CCATAGCCAGCAGCCACGACCCCGTTCCACAGCTTCACGGAGGAGCAGGCGCAGCTGGGCACAGGGACACGTCTCACCTCCTCTGCTCCCGGCTGCAGACCCGCACGCTGGGGGCTGGTGCCGGGTGTCCCCCTCCTGCCACCCTCCCATCCCTCACGCAGCACCAGCGCGGCCTGGCCGGGGATACGTCCGACCCCCGCCACCGACGGGACCCCGCTGTGCGGCTCCATCCGCCCCTCGGGCTTACCCAAAGGCCGGGATTTTGCTGCGCAGGGTGAACTCCTCTCCCGTGCTCCAGACGCAGAGGCTCCCGGCGTCATCGGCAGTCACCAGGTCACCAGCCCCGTCCTGCAAAGCAGCGGCAGGTCAGCCTCCGCCCCGGCACCGCTCGCGGGGTGGCCAGCGCCGCCGGCGGCAGCGAGCGGCTGACTCACACCAGGCAGAAGGTTCTTGCTGCCCCAGTTGCCTGCGCCGCTAAAAGTTGCTGCAAAGCAAAGCCAGAGCCTGCAGCGGAACGAGCTTAAAATTTAACAGCTCACAGAAACTGCTGACATGTTCTGTGAGCAAGCAAGGCTTGGCGGTGATCGCACCCGGGTGTTGCAGTTCCAACATGTTCGTGTTTGGCAACGATAATTACACACGGGATAAGCGTCTAGGAAGAATTACTGCATCCCCTCCCTCTGCGCCCGAGTCTCGGCACTCCGCACCTTACAGGCGCCTGGGGTTTCACACGCCAGGCCCTGTCTCTCGCTCGCTAAAAAGCCTGTAACAAACCGCGGTGCAAAGTCCAAGCGAGGCGCGTTAGAGGACAGTCACCGCAGAGGCAGACGATGGAACAGCTTTCACGTAAACAAGCTCCAGATCCAGGCTAATTGGGAACCAGTTCTGAGCAATTAATTGTTCAGGGGAGTCCCGAACGCAGCGGAAGTTAAATATAACTAATTAGAGAACGTGGAAGAAAGCGTCCTCGTTGGGAAGGAAGCAGCCAGTATGAAGCAACCAATTAGTGCGCCTGCAGAGATGCCAACCAGAGCGAGCTGAACTGAAGGAAGCCCCATCCTGTGCTCTGTCACCAGGTGAAGTTCCCTCACCTGCCACCAGAAAGGTCACCGATACTGGGCAGCGCTGCCGTCCCCTCCCTCCGCTGGCGAGGGGAGGGCTCCGGAGACACCGGCACGGCGCGTCCCGTGCCCGCCTCAGGGGCTGCTGCAGTAACTCTCCGCTCTAACGGCGGGAGCGTTAATTTTAGCGTGGGTTTATTCATGGCCGGTTTTGTTCATTTGCTCTTTTGTACCACAACCGGCCTTTAGCTTCAACAGCTCTTTGGTGCCCCGGCACTCAGCCCGCCGGATCACGGGATGCCCTGGGCCGGCAATGAGCCGCGCTCCTGCAGCCACGCTGCGTGCGGGGGGATCAGCTCCTTCACCGCCTTTGTTGCCGCTCTCTGCTTCAGCGTTTGCGTCCCCAGAGCCTGGGCGACCAGGGCCGAGATTCAATCAGCCGAGAAACACGGAGCCCGAGGCACTAACAAGGCAGAGACCGGCTGAACGCCGATGGAAACTGGGACAGTGGGATAACTGATGGGGTGGCTGCTCCCAGCTGCCCAGGCAGCAAAGGGAACAGCCCTGAAATACCACAGTGTGCGAGCGCAGTGTTTAAACTACGTTTGACTTCAGTTTGCCTTAGCTCGAGACGCCACACTAAGCCACGGCAGGACGGCTCGCAGGCTTTTCGGAGCAGGGCCTGAGGAAGTGGCCATTCCCAGCCACCTCCGCCCCCAGATGTATCCCGCCCTGACAGGGGAGATCCCCCCGTGCAGACAGCCACAAAAGCCAACGTCCCTGGTGAAGGGAGGGACGGCAGAGCCACCCGCTCTCCTGCACCGTGGAGAGCAGCCGGCTCTGGGGCAGCTCTGCCACAGCGCAGCCTCCCCAGACCTCACCGGCAGCGGGGACCGGGCTGGCCACAGAGAGCACCAGCTCCCAGGGTGTGGGGCTGCACCCTGGGACCGGCTCAGCCACGGCCGGGGCCTGGGTGAACCTCAGCTCCCAGAGCCGGCACCTGCGAGGCGTCCCCGAGCCAGCCAAGGGGACAGCGGGAGCCCCCACCACTCCTCTGGCCCAAGCGGACACCAACAGCGCTGACCCCACACGTACCGGAGCCTGGCCCAGCTCCGCCGCGATGTCGGTGATGGCATCGCGGTGCTGCTCCAGGACCTCGCTCACCGTGATGTTCGTCCCTTTGGGGGGGATGTCAAACACCAGCACCAGCCCAGAGGACGTCCCTGCGGGCGGGACGGAGGAGGCATCAGCGGGGGCCCGTCCCGCTCTGTCCCAGCAGCGAGCCTCCAGCTCTCGCCGTGCCTCTCGCCCCCCGAGACGCGCTGCCTGCGCGGGGCCGCTCCTCGCAGACGCCGCTCGCAGCCCTGCCCCTCTGCTCAGCCCAGAGCAGCTCCCTGCGACAGCCCCAGCGCAAAGCCAGCCCCGTCGGCTGGCCCCGCGTCGTTACCCCACCTCGTTACCCCGTCCCTGGGCCCCGGCGCCGCCCCCCCAGTGCCACCCTCCCTTCTCGTCCTTCCCCACGCCCCCGGGCCTGGCTCACCCACGCAGATGAAGCGTCCGCCAGCTGCAGCGATCCCTCGAGCAAACACTGCTTGTGCTGAAAGGAAACCAAGGGCTGGTCACGACCTGCGGCAGCTCCCAGGAGCCGGCAGACCAGCGCGGCGGCGGGAGGCACCAGCGTGCCCGTTCGAGTTTTGTTTTTAGGGCTGGTCCCGTAGCTGCCACGCCGAGTCCCTTCCGAGCCCCTTTGCAGCCCCCCCGGGCCGCCGACGAGCCAGGATCGAGGGGTCAGGGTGACGCTGTGACCTTTCCCAGACCCTTCTGCTAAGCTGCTGTGTAGGAGCGTCCTGGCTCGATCCTGAGCGGGCCCGGGAGCCAGGCTGCTGGGGGTCTCTAGGCCAGGAGGAACCGGGCTGCACTACGGGAATCACGCACACCCGGGGGAAGGAGAGCGGGCGGAGGGGCCGGGGGGCTGCTCGCTGCGCTCCCGCCGCAGGATTTACCTGGAGGATGCTCCGCGACGTCCAGCGCGTGCCAATAAACCATGATGGAGCCATCGGACTCGTACATCTGGAGAGAGAAAGCAACAGGGTGAGGCCCAGGAGGGTGGGGAAGTTCCTCTTATGGCTTCAGGCTCAATCGCTGCCCCGAGAGGTCTCCAAGGAGCGGCAGCTCTCTGGGTACGCAGCAGGGCTCCCAGGCGGTTCCCCCGGAAGCCCAGCTGTCCTTGCAGCGAGCTCATCCTCCCGGCATCGTGGCTTCCCTTGTCACCCTCCGCGGAAAACCGCCCCACCTGGATCCCTTTCTGCGAGGTCAGCACCAGCAGGACCCGGGACGGCAGGACGCACCAAGCAGCCTGGAAGGAAAGGAGGCTCGGCAGGCGAACGGGGGGCAGACGGGGCGAAAGCCCTCCCCGCCTTCCAGGGGAGGGACGGGCCGCAGTCGCCCGCAGAGGCGCGCGCATTCCTGGCTCCTGTGGCGGGTTACAGGAGGTGGGGCCCTGCCGTCGGCGGGGACCTCTCCAAGCTCTCACAGACCTTCTCAGGAGGCCCCGTCCCAATCCCTCTCCCCGTGCCCAGGACGCTGCGGGCGCCTGCTTCTGTCCCGGCAGGTCTGCAGCCACAGGCACTCAGTGGGAAGGCCCTTCCACCCCCTCCGCAGCTCCGCTGTCCCCTCCCTGTGCTGGCGCTCAGCCCGTTTGGGCCTTGCGGTCAATGGGTCCCCTCTGCCCGGGTCAGAGCCGGCCGGCACTGAAGCACGCTGGGAGCTGTTTATCGGTTTACAGGGCTGCTCCGGCTCCGCGGGGTGCCGGGGGCAGCCCCGGGCAGGGCGACGCCACCGCGGCCCCGGGGCCACGCTGCTCCGGGGACGGACGCGGCCCAGGCTCCCCCGCGGCTCGAAAGGGGCCCGCCCCCCGGCCCCCCCCCCCCCCCCC